AGCCAAAAAATAAAACCCATCTAAACCCGTCCAAGCGGGCTAGTTCAAATCAACCTCCCCGAACGAAACCCTACCCTTCGGCAGAGCTTCGTCCGGGTTCCCCTCTGCAAGCAGAGAGTTCGACAGACACCCGACAGCTCACAAAGCGCAGATACTACACTTTGATCCTAGCCACCGGGCCGAGCGGGTATTCTTTTTTCATACTGATTATATTTGCATACCTTTTGTCTCTGATATTGAGCACCTTTCTCCCATAAATATAGTGTACATTAAAAACTATTACATGGTTGGATCAATAAATCTGAAACCTTAGTTTTTTGGGGGGGGTTTTTTTTAACTGAATTTGGATCTGAAATTTACACTGTAGTTTTGTTTGATATTATTACTACTCTCACTGAATTAAGTGCATTAACAAGAAAGGAGATTGTGTTAGAAATAAATATTTGTAGTGTAAAATTTTTACAATAAGTAAAATGAATACTTTTTCTTTTTCATCGTGAGGTTGCAGATAATAATGTGTTTGTAATCCACACTCATACATACGAAGTAATTAATGCAGACATTCTGGAATCTCTCAACTCATGACTGTTTACAGAATTCAAAATTTCCTGCCCCCTCCAAACTGAGCTGACATTATTGATACAAATAGACACTCATTCTCAAAAGTGAACCCTATTTCAATATATTTCCCCATTAACCGGAGACTAAAGTGTCGTATTTGGTTTTTCCACGAAGACATTTTGAGTTTTGACACACCAAAAAAAAAATGCTAGAGAGAAAAATATTCTTTTCCCCTTTTTCTTTAAATCTGAAATATTTTTCTTTTCACTCAACGTCTGCAAAACAGAATTCGCAGACAGCACCCGATATAACGACAAAACCAGTTTTTATTTATTTTATAATTCCATCGTCTTTCAAATCAAATTGTTAAAAAAAATATATATTTTTTTAATATGATTCTAAAAAAGATGATTTTGTGACGGTCAAATTTCGTTTGGTTTATTTTAAGCTTCAAAAATAGACAGCAAAACGAAATTTGAATCTAGGTTCAAAATAAATGCTATAGCAGCAGCTGTACTTTTTTCTAAGCCCTACCCTAGGAAGAAGAGTACCTTGTCCTTAGGTAGACACACCCAAAGTACGTTACAATTGCTTAGCTTACGTTATTTTTTTTTCCTTTTGGTTTCAACTAAGAGAAAATTGTCAAGTCCTAAGCTTTCTTAAGACAAAAGATGAAATAAATAATGAATTACACAAAGAATTTTTTTAAGAGAGACAATTTGTACTTATAGTCAATTAGTACAAAAATTCTAAAAACGGAGGATTATCACATGAATATTAAATATAGGATTTTTTTTAATAAAACAAAATAAAAATAAGAAAAGAAAAGGACAACGAGGTAAACAGAGGATTTTTTTTTTCAAAATTGAACTCCGTTCAAACAAAAAAATGTGAATAAAAATAATTGAATCACAATGAATGAAGTAATTTGCAAAATCCTAAGCGATTTTTCGATCACTCGACACAAATGACAATGAAATCGATTGAAAGAATTAAAAATTATTCAACACTTGCCTATTTCACATTCATTCCCACCTTTTTTCTTTTTAACTTTGAAGGGACAGTAAACAAAAAAGAATTTAAAATTAATGTTTTTACACCCAAGAAAATTAAACAATGAAATGTTTTTCTATTATTACATAACATTCAACGACATAAATGTTTACCAAGGTACTTGTGTAACTTAATTATTTATCAGTACTAAATAGTAAAGATAAAATTACTAGTTGAATAAGACAAATATTAAAAGACCAAGAAAAGGTTTTATTAAATTTAACAAAGGAAAAATTCGTATACATTGATAACATTTTCACGTTTTTCAAGTTCAACTGAATCTATTTAAAAGGAAAAGATCTGAATAGAATTTGGGATATAATTATGGTTAATTCACAATTTTTATTATTTGATTTTTTTTTTCAGAGTTCAATTAACACGGAAGTAATAAAAACCTAAATTTGATGAAAAAAGAAAAAGAAATTACATTATTATTTATGAAGTCCTACGTGCCATATTTTTAAACAAAAATTATAATTTTATTTTTAAAGATTGAAAACAATAATTAGCAAAAATTTTAATTTATAAATTAAAATTTATTCGTTCGTTTTTTAAATTAATGAAGTAATTATTTTTTTTAAGCATTTGTCATCATTGCTCCCGATTTGGGTTTTTGAGACAAGTGCTTTCTAATTAACTGAAACTTAAGCTAAGCGGCTATTTAGTTGTTCAAAATAGGATAATTTAATTAGATAAAGATTAATATTAGGTTAATTTCTTGACGTCTAACAGAAGAATAACTAAGAGACATATGAATAATTAGACCATATTGACATTTGAAGCAACTGTGGGTATTGAAAAAATATATAGACGAGAGAGAGAGCAACAAACGAGGAAAGATTTTTTTTTTTTGTTTACTGATGCAATAAAAAATCCAGTAAAAAAACAAAAAAAAAACAAACATTTTTAATTTTTAAAGCGATCTCATTTTGTTTTCATTTCAGGTTAATAAGAGTTTTAGTTATATTTTGAAATTGATTTATTCCCTCTTCCCATATTATACTTTCTCATCGCCCCGACAAAACACTAACAGCAAAAATCGAGTCACAACTACTACTAAGTTCCGTTTGTCTTTGTAGACCGACTAACCTTGGTGAAAAAAAAAAATAAGTCAAGTTTCAAGTATATTTGCCACTGAAATCATGAATTTTTTTTGTTTGTTTGTTTTTTAGATTTTACAATTCTCAAATTAAAAAAAAATAAAACAAAACATTTTTTAGTATACAAGCTTCCAAAAAAAAAAAAAAAAAAAAAAAAAAAAAGGTTGTTTCCTTTAAGGTTCGATCTTAAACCAACAGATAAAAAACATTATTTTACCAATTGAGCTAAATTTTAAGTCACAATTGACTGTAATTAAAAGCCTTGAAAAATCTTGTCTTACATCCCAATTTACAAACGGAGATACATTTTTTTTGCTTAACATTTCTAACGTGGGTTGATAAGGAAAACCCTACTACATCTGCAATCTACCCGTACCCGGCGGGAGCCCCCCACCCATCCTTTATTACTTTGTTTTTTTTTTTTTAAGTCTTCACTCTTCAGTACCATATTCACGATTTTACAAGTACAAGGTTGATCATAATGAATAAAGAAGTCAATCATATTCCATTATTACTCGAAGACTAGAATCCAAATCAGTTGGTTAAGAAAAAACATTTACCAAATGAGCCACAATCTCAGCAAGCATTTGACTCTCTAAGAATTAATTAAATTAACAAAATTTAAAACTTTTATTTAAATTGTTAATTAATAATATTTCAAAGATAATCATAATTACTTTTAAATTAAAAGTAATTATGATTATCTCTGAAATACTTATAAAAATCACTAAAAAGTTTTATAAACCTGAATACGACCTAATTAAAAAAAAAGGTTTTTTGGGGGTTTTTTTTTTTTTAATTAAGATGATCAATTTTCAACAAACCGAAAAAAAAAAAAAAAAAATGGGTAGGTATACTACTTGGACATCATGCAAAATTTTACTAAAAAGTATCACAAAACAATAAAATGTTTACAAATTTGATATTAAAAAAAAATGGTTTCAAATATTTTCTTCTCTGGTATAAATATTTTCGATGGTAATTTCAAGTGCCGTTGGTAAAAATAAAAATAAAAAGCAACGTGTTTACCCGATGAGCCACGTTACCTTATTGTAGTAGGTAGACACAGGCAATACACAAACTTGAAAATATTTGGGTTTTTTTTTCAATGAACAGGTAAAGTTGATAAACAAACATTTAGTATTTTTTCATAGATTTCGTCACATGTTTAAGGGGAGAGGATTGAGGCCATCTGCGGTAAAATCAGATTATAAATTATGGTCGACAATCAACAAGAATCGATGTGTCGAAAATTTGTCTTGAAGAAGTCGAGGAGGAGGAAGACCGTTTATTAAAAAGTGAACAAAAATTCTTACGTTGCCATAACTGATTTGATATCTTTCGAAATATATGTGTGTGTGTGTGTATGTATGCATGTGTGTGTGTATGCTATAAAGATAAAAAATGCCATCCTACAAGGGAAAAAAAATGTTTTTTGCTAACGTTTAAGATTAAGAAGAAGCATTTATTTTAAACAATTTTCTTCTTCCATATCCCAAAGAGGAAAATTCATCTTAGTAGGTTCATTTCAGTGCGGGGAAAAAAATGATCAATTTAGAAAACCTTTCAAAATCAACTTCATAAAATAAATTTATTATTGATTCCAATGTTTTATTTTTGTTTTTAAATCTAGACAGACGAAAAAAAAAATTAAAAAAGCAAAAAGAATATATACACGACTACTAACTTTCTTGGATAAGCTAAGAAGCAGGTGCTGCTTCTTGTGTTTTTAGACTGATTATTTAAAATGTACATTTCGGGATTATTTTTGGAGTTAAGTTACCAGATTGCAGACAAATATAAACATTTCGATCTTCTGTTCATCGATATTTGGAAATTCAAGCATAAAACAGGACGGGATTTACGAGGAGAGAGAGAGAGAGAGAGAAGAATCAACAACAAGCCAATAGAACTGAAGATAGAAACGGTGGAAACTGAAAACAAATGACGCAGAAGATACTGAATTCGGCATTAATAAAAGCCACAGAAATTCATAGAATTAGAAATAATAAACGGAAAAGAAAGAGGAAATAAAAAGAATTCGTTTTTAAAAATAATTTTTCGGAATGGCAGGATTAAAAATTCATAAAGTCAACTCCTTTTTTGTGAATCAGTATGGTCATAAAGTAGGGGATCTTATCAGCATTTCAGTTTCGAATGTAAAAAAATTAAGATATAATTAAAAAAAAAAAAGTATTTTAAGATTTTAAAATCGGATAGCATTTTAAATAGATTTCTTTTTTAATTAAATTCTTGCAAAAATTTTTTTTTTCTTCAACAAAAACAATGAGAGAGAAAGATAGGTCATATTTTCTTTTTCGTCTTCCTACCCCACGATCATTTTCAACCCATATTTCGACAGAAAGCACAACGGTCCCACCTGACCCAGACATTCGGTAAATGTCCTTGAATGTCCAACGGTGGCAAGTGATTTACCTTGAGCGTATTAGATTGTTGGATCTTTTCGGCAGTATCGAAAATCTCTTCCTGTTGTGAACTGACTCTGACATTTCGGGCCGCCATCTTCCACGCAGCGCACCTCACTGCTTTTCAACAGAAAATGAGGCGAAAAAAAAAAAAAAAAAGAAAGGAAGGAAGGAAGGAAAAAAAAGAAGCGGAAAGATAAACGCAGTTGCTTCGTAAAGTAGTTGTGGTGGTCGGGTGTCGAGGAAAAGTAGTAGTAGTCGTCGAAGAAGCAGCAGCAGCAGCAGCTACAACAACGGGCGGGTGGGCAAGGCAGGCAGCAGCAGCAACACCTGGGGGTGGGGATCAGTTCAGTCTATGTGCGTGTCTGTATGAGTAAATGTTGCGATCATTTGGCACATGGCTCCAATTTTTGAGCGATTTTACTCTCAGTGTCATTACATAATCTAATTTACAAAAAAAGGAACAACTATTTTGTTTGGAATCAGGCACAAGGCTAATTTTTTTCAGTCGCTATCATCTCGTTTAACTGCATAAAGATGACTAACTACTACAGGTTTTTTTTTTTTTTACAGTACTTTATTCGCGACTGATACATACTTTTCAGGGTTTTTTTTTTTTGTCTGGAGTTTTTGCTGATTTCCACGATGGATTTTGAACACTCCTTCCCTAATATTGGGAAATCAAGTTTGGTAGAAGGCTGTATTTTTGGAGTAGTTGATTGATCTCGGACGTCTGAGATCAACACGTTTTAAAACCACTTGCAGAATGAGGTTATTGAACCAGGAAAAAACTAACACAAGACACAAGGTTTCATTTACGGAGCACTTTCAAAGGCTCAAATGAAGAATTTGACTTTATGTAATCCAAGGAATAATTTCTTTTTTTTTTTTTTTTTTTAAATTACTTCGGTGTTTAGTTTAGCGATACATAGGTGAGTTTGTTTTTTTTTTTAACCAAGTCTGATAAAGTCTTGGAGCATGCAATGCAGATTGAACACCTTGTTGAACGTAAACTGTTGCAAACTATGTTAGTTGTGGCACAAGACCGAGATTAAGGTGCACCCAGTAAGGATCAAACTCACTATATTCTGTCATAATTGTTCTCTAGCGAGGCAAGCTTGCTAACCATTTACACACCCCGTCAAAGTGCCCAGCCGTCGAACTAAATACTTTTTTTTGTATCAGTATTTTTTTTCTTTCCCCGCAAAAAAATAAATCTGGGGAAAAAAGTATTGTTTTGTTAATAAAGGGTTTGTTTCACATGAAACGTGTATCCGTGGCACCAAAAGAGGATCGGGAACTAAAGACCCCCCACCCCTGTCCAATTCTTCACACTTTTCCTGGAACTGAAAACTAAACAGACGAACTTGTGGGCCTTGTCTCTACTCTAAAATTACTGCTATTTTTTTTGTTTTGAAATAACCCTTCTTCATCATTGTCGATTTTTTTTTTTTCGAAACATTGACTTAGAAATTTAAAAAAACTCTTTCTTTATTCTTTTAGGTACCTCCACTGACTCGCTAAAAATGAACATATCATGGTGAAAAAATGCCCCAAACTTAATAAAAATAAAGTTTTATCGTCAAAAACAAAAAGGAAGACTCTTTAAAAAAATAATAACAAACATTTTTTTTTGACGCTTTTTTAAAATTAATTAAAAAAATACTTAGGTATCACGATTTTTATGGAGGTAAAGACAAAAGGATTTTTTGATTATTATTAAAAATTATATTTTTTATCCTTTTTAGAACATTCGAAATTTTGGTTATAAATCTTCTTATTTTCTTCCGTCAGCGGGGTGACCAAAAAGATTAGGAAATTTTAGCGTCTTTTTGCGGTGAAAAGATTTGGAAATTCTTGCAAAAATCAAATAATTGTCGGATTTTAATGAAACTTTCACGACTTATTCACAAATGAATTAAATTATTTTAAGACATATGGGAATCATCTCGAAGATCTCTAATTATTAAATTATTTAATAATTAGACCTTCGAGACGATTCCCATATATGTCTTCTTATTTCTAAAATAATCTACTAATTCATTTTATGCGTTTGCACTTATCTGAAACTTTTAAGTACAAACGCAAAAAATGTGTACGTAAATTAATTTAAAATCAAAACAAAAAATATTTACAGTGAGTAGGTCTTTAAAAAATGTTCATTTTATTTTTATAAGATAATCAAATAAAAAATACAGAATCAAGAATCTTTAAAATTTCTGATTTAGCAACCGTTATGTTAGCACCCCCACCCAGACTTTATTTTGTGGTGCTTTGCTTAACATTTAGCACTCAGTATGTGAGTTTTTCACTAAGCAAAAAAATTTTGTCCTGTCATTGCAGGCGACTCTGATTGACAAACAATATTCAGTTGTAGACAAAAGGAAAACTTATCTGAGCCGATGCGTTTCGGCCTCTGGTAAAGATATTTTGCTCCTTGGGTAAAACGGTAATATTAATGACACAGATAATAAATAGCGCGGTAAAATGGTGCCGGTAAAAATGACTTGGTCACAACATAAGATTCTAATTTAGTTATTAAATTCTTCTTTTTTTTTTTTAAAAAAAAAAAAGGTTGATAAAACGGTGTGTTCATGTTTTTATTTAAACATATTTGATTTAAAAGTTGTTTTTCATAATTTTTGTTTGGTACTGGTGAGCTATCTGTCGGCACCTTTTAATTCGCGTATTGGTGAACTTTTATCAAGTTAGATGTGGTATTTTTAGAATATTTTTATTAATTGTTTTCTTTTTTCTTCAGACTGCTAAATGAATCTTAGGAACTGTATATTTTTACACTTCTGTATTTGTGAAAAAGTTGGAAAATTAATTTAAAAAATGCCGGCAGGTAACCTACAAATACGTAAATTTATATTAAAAAATGGTGGTAAAACAATTCTACATTTTTGGTTAATATTAATTAAAAAATAAATAAAATCTTATATCATATATTTAAAAAAAAAAAAAAAATCAGATTTCATTCAAAAAGAATTTTTGTACCAACAGTGTATATAAACTTATTTTTTCATTTGTGTTATTTTTACCAGAGCCATTAAAAATTCATTTGCCTTCATAGAGCCCCTCAGAGGATGAAAAGTTTCAATTAGTTAAGATAAGTTATCCTTTTGTCTTTTTTTTATTCAAATTGTCCTTTTATACTCCATCTGAGATTTTTTACTACACAATTGTTTAAGTTGTGTAGTGTTATATCTCCTATGGCATCAGGAAAAAGAACTTTGACTGAAATTGAGAATTGGGCTACAGTGGGGGGAAGGAATAAGGATTAATGCAGTGTGTTAAAAAGGTTATGACATAAAACGAAGGAAAAAAATATCCATCTCAAATAAATCCTACACCATCAAAATTCCTCTAGCGAAACTAATTCTATCTTGGTTAGCTGCCCTTGTTCCGTTAGAGAGAGAGCGTGCAAATCAACACGTTCTTTGGGGTTTTAAACGTGTGCAGGTGACATAGGTTACATGGAAAATGGAATTAGCAGGCCGAGTTCAAATCCCAGCGGAGGCTGTTGAGTTCACTTTGTACTAATTTTCTTGGTTAAATCAGGAATCTATCTTTTCTTCTCTTCATCTGTTATAAAAGTAGTAGTTCATACTAGATAAAATAGCCTTAGATGACAACCAATCTGTCTCGAGAACAACGTTTCTCAAAATTTTTACCCTTGCGTAAACCCTTATGAATTACATGTCTCAAGGAATCCCAGCGCAAAAGCAAAATTATATACCATATCTTTCATCGTAGTTCACGTGGTAAATATTGTAGTAGATATTTATTTTTGAATAACTGGTTTAAGGAAAAATTAATACTACTTTTTTCGGTAATGCTGAAAATAAAATTCATACTGTTCGTTTGTAATACTTCATCAGACTTCAATTCATAATTGAAACAAAAAAATTCTAAACTCAAACGTAAAAAATAAACATAAGTTAAGTAATTAATCATATACCTAACGAAAACAGATAATTGCTGCATCAGTTTGTTGATTTTTTTGTTTTTTTTTATCCTTTTTTTACTATATTTTTTTTTATAACATAGGTTGGAAGGATGATGTAACCAATATTATATCACGTATATGAAATTAAATAAAAAGTTAAAAGGGTATACCTCACCTGTTCTCGCGGAATCTTAGGGTTCCGGGGAACCCCAGTTGAGAAACGCTGCTCTAGAAGAAAGATAACTAAAATAAATAAATGATATGGATTCAAAACCGTAGATAGAAAGCAACAGGAAGTCCCTATCTTTTCCAACAAAAGTTATGTCAATTCAACTACAGATAGGAAATGAAACTAGAGAGCATTGACCACCTACATCTTGAAGGGACATGACATAAAATAATTTTTATTTGTTACAGAAACATGTAACTGTCTCGATCATGAAGCAGACCCATCCTTTCTGTGTGATGAGCGTATGAGCTTTCAAAAATCAGACTTTCCTCTGCTGGTTTTATTTTATTTTTTTACTGTTATACGACACTCAATGAGAATCGAACTCACTCTGAGAGACAAGTTTCACTTACAACGGGCTTAATCAGTAGATATTCCATTTCCATCTATTTTTATCTATAAAATCCTGTGACTACCGTTAGTTACGTCCGTCACACTCTAGCCATACATTGACCGATCGAAACCATATTTTAGGCCCTAAAATTTAGGGATAATGCAAACAGGTAAGAAAGAAAGGGATACAAAGTACAATTGGTTTTACTAGGGTGCGTAGTTTAATAAAATTTCATTCCTTTTTTGGGAAAAATTATAAGTTCTATTATTTAAAATACTTCCACTACTATATTTTTTTAAGAATATAATGTTTAAAATAAGAAATACTTAAAAAAAAAATGCAATATTGTTTTTTTTTTTTTTTTTTTTTTTTTGCATCTCTTTTCTTTAAGTTTTTCCATATATTTCATTCTGGTAAAATTAAATATAATGCCCAGGAGTAGCAGTGTTAAATATACACACAGCAGGGAAAGTTTCAAATGAGCAGAGGAAGCGATAACCTCAACTATACTAAATTCTGTGAGGATTTCTATACGCTGACGCGTGTTGCAAAAACATATAGTTTCTTTAAAAAAATATATAGATCCTCTACTCAAAAACATGTATATCCAATAAAATATAACGTTTAAAAATGGACAAACAATTCAAACTTCTATCTATATATAAAATTCTGTTGTTAATCCATCCGTCACACCCTAAAAAGAGCCATACATTTCCGATCGAAACCAAATTTTGGAGAGAAGTGCAAACAGAAGAGGGTACAAAGTACAATTGGCTGTAGGGTGTGTTGCTTAGTACAATAGATTTTCATTCATTTTTTTCGGAGGAGTTTTATTAATTTAATTTACAAAAAATACTCCCACTATTTTAAGAACAATTTAATGATTAATAAATATTTATTTAATAAAAATGCAATCTTTTTTTTCTTTTTTTTTTTTTTGCGTATCTTTTCTTTAAGTTTTTCTATAAATTCTGGTAAAATATAATGTCCAGCAGTAGCAGTGTAAATATAAAGCCAGCAGGGAAAGTTTCCAATGAGCAGAGGAAGCGATAACCTTATTCTGTGAGGATTTCGACACGAATCAGCGTGTTGCAAAAAAACTTCGTACGATAAAATGTTGGATGTTAAAACCGTAAAAACATCTTAGTTTCATCAAGTAAAAGCTAGATGACAAATTTGGTGCTAGGCCGGCGGTGGGGGATGATTTCCTTCGTCTTCTAGGGCTAAGGTTTTCCGCTGACATGAAGTGGAAAGATTATATTGAATTGATTACTAGGTCTGCTGCTAGTCAGGTTGCTTCACTGGGTCGTGTGAGACATTTTTTCTCGTCAGAATCTACAAGTCTACCATTCGTCTTTCTTTACTTAGAATATTGCTTCCACATTTGGTCTGGTGCTCCTCCTATATATTTAGAGATATTCTTGATAAAATCCAAAGAAGAATCTGCAATGTTATTGGTCCTGATCTGGCATCTCGGTTTCAGTCACTTTCCCACCGCCGTAATGTGGCTTTCCCGTTCTTTTTCTATAAATACTTTCATGGAAAAATGTTCTGATGAACTCTGCTCTAAGGTACTTAGACTCTATGAATCTACAGTACTAGATTGGCAACAAGGTTTCATCTTTTTACAGTTGAAATGGCCGCCAGATGTTGTCGCAGTGTGCCCAAACACCACTCCCACCGTTTCTTAAACAACCCCGGCTATGCCGTCCGGTAGAGAAAGGTCACGGCCCTTGTGTGCTAAAAATAGCAACGACATCCTTTCAAACTGTCAGAAACACACAAAACTCAATTTTCGCCACTAAACAAAAATAAAAAACCTTTAATTTCGAACCGAAATTCATTTAAATACAGTCAACAAACACCGAACACACTTTTGACTGTAATTAATACGGCCCGGAATTAATTATATTCATTTACTTGTTTAGCGTCACCGCTTTCTCTTGTATGAACCGTCATATCTAGATCCCCGAGACTTCGCAGCGGTTTTTAGCCGGCCCGGGGGAGCAGCCCGGCCTTCGGGCTGGGTTGCGACCCATGGCAAAGTCTAGTTTGGACCTGTTAAGACAAGCCAAGACCAACTTGGACCAGAACTTGACTAAGCTTTGACCAGCTTGGACATGTTATGACCAAAACATTGACTAAGCCTTGACTGGCTTGGACATGTTATGACCAACCATTGACCCTATGCGGAAACGCTTGGGTTTTTCCCACGAAAAAACGACCTTGTGTCACGACTTGACCGCGTGGGAGTCAAGTAATCCCACGAAAAACGACCTTGTGTCACATCTTAACCTCGTGGGAGTCAAGTAAATACCGCCGGCCCGGGGGAGCAGGAAGCCTCCCTGATTCGCGACTTTGACGCGCCCAGTCAAGTCGACCAAGCCCAGCAGCTGACGGGACCCAGCAGCAGCAGTCGTTCAAACAGTCCTCTTCAGGGCTAACTTCCGAAAGTCATTCGATCACCACTCTTCGAGGCTCCACTCACTTCACTCTTCGCTACTGCCTTCCCTCTGTGACGCCAGCTCACTCCTGCAGCACTCCTGCAGCTTCCAGCTCTCCTGTAGCTTCCAGCTCTTTCCTGCAGCTTCCAGCTCTCTCCTGCAGCATCCAGCACTCCTGCACCTTCCAGAACTCCTGCAGCTTCCAGCTCACTCCTGCAGCCTTCAGCTCACTCCTGCAGCTTCCAGCACTCCTACCGCTTCCAGATCACTCCTGCAGTTTACAGCTCACCCCTGCGGCGCTCTACCGACGTCCCGCTACCTATTCCAGCACCCGCTGACGACCTAATCCAGTGCCCACTGACGTCCAGCGCCCGTTATCGTCCGGACACCGTTCCCGAACAAACGACCTCTGTCTTCTTACCATCCACCGTTCGCAAATAAAGACACGATTTCCATCGTCTACAACCGACCATCTGCGTTTGTCATCCTTCTTTGTGTCCACTTTTTAGTTGTACGGTCGATTGGCACTCACACCTCTCGGCCCGCTGCAACAATGTAACCGTAAGTTCTATGCTAACAGTTTCTTCTCTTGCACTTTTCCATTGTGGAACTCTCTTCTGTCTTCTTGCTTTTCATTCAAGTTTGATCTCCCAAAATTTAAATGCAATGTCAATCGTTATCTTCTGTCTTTTTAAATCCTATTCTTTTATTGTTATCTCTCCTTGTTAATGTTTTTTTCTTATATTCATTCACATTTCAGTAACCCCTCTGCGTCTTAGAGGCTTTATTGCCTTGCTTAAGTGTAATGATTTTAAAAAAGTATTGCTGCAAGATCTTTTCTTTTATGGAATGATGTTTTTGGGTTATAGAGGCGTTGGGCTTAGTAATTAAATTGAACAGTTGATTTTTACCCACATCAAGGAGATTATAATGACGAAGAAACACATGGATAATTTTAACAAAATAACATAAAGAATTTATTTACGAATTTACACGCTTGAAGTAATGTCAAGAAAATAAATCAAAACATTTTAAAATTTGTAGTTTTAACGAACTGGCATGAAGAGGAAATGTCCATACGACTGATCTGACACAAAATAATGTTACAGACAAGAGAGTTCGTTACTCACAGGAGTGATATGTGGTTGATACATTTCAAAATAGACGAAAAGAGATAGTTTGAAATAGTTAGCTGTCTTGGATTGTTGAAATAAAATGTTTTGAAGTGTCACGTGCTTGATTAAAAGGCCGATAATATGATTGGCGGGTAATTTGACATTGGCAAGAACTTGAACGCTGACTGCGAGGAACTCAAACTAAAGTAAACCTATCACATGACTTCAGACACTTTTCGCTTATTTATTCAATTTTTTTTCCTCATTTTACAAATTTACTTGTACTGAGCAGTTAAATTGATAGATTATATTGGTCATCGCTAGTTTTCATTTAATAGGTTTATTTTGATTAATGACGACGAGTTTGTTTTTTGTTTTTTTTTTTTTTTTTGTTTTTTAAATAGAATAACACTAACTCGAATTCCAGCCACGTTCGTTTCGCAGGGCTCGGAAAAAAAGGCTACGACTATAGAGGCATCACAAAACTACATCTTAAACAAACACGAAAAGAAATGAACACCACTTAACAAGAAACGCCTTGCCTTTAAAATGGCTAAAGAAATGTCCGTAAGCGCTTGGGAGAATAAATACTATGGTCAATGCACTCCCTTACCCTCACCACAAAGAATAATGTAAGAATATCAGAAAAAACTAAAAAAAAGAAAAAAATCATCAAATTTTCTTTGTCTCTATATTCAACCAAACATCTTTAAAAGAATGGTTGCTACCAAAACATCAAATATACATTATATATATAGGCAGTCCTTTAAAAGGGCTGTGGTGAAATAATTTATTACATGGAACCTTAAAGTGGTCTGTTTTTATTTAAATTATTTGCTCTGGATTTACATTGAACTCTTTGGATTTTATCCTCCTTGGGTCTACCCATACGGATTACCTAGTTTTTCATAAACTATATATATATATATATATATATATATATATATATATGTGTGTGTGTGTGTGTGTGTGTGCGTGTTTGTAAAAATATATATAGAAAATAGGAAAGAACTCGTTAGGTAAATAATCCAAAGTTCTTTAGTATTTTTTGTTATTATTTTTAAAATAGTGCTCGATACAAAAAGTAGAGCATAAATATAATTATTTATTTAAAATATGATTCCAACGCTACATAAGAGTTCTCATGTTTCAAAACAAGAGCCGAAAACTTCAATATAATTATTTGAATTAAAGTACCAAGCTCTGTTCAATCTTCAAGCGAAATTTCATATTTTTAAATAATTATATATATATATATATATATATATATATATATATATATATATATATATATATATATATATTTTCATTGAATACAACAGACAAGGTGCTTTGACCATAGTTCAATTAGGTCTCATTTAAATACTCATGGAGACCTACAGGACCCTATTCGTCGTAACATACTTGTTGACAACACAAATATAATAGCATCATCTATATGCAAAATAAAGGCTAAAAATAATGGAAGCCTTATTAATAAAAACAAAAAAAACAACACTCAATAATATCAACTATGAACATGGACACAATATCTTGACCGTGTTTTGAAAATGAAAACATTATATAAAAACATACATACAACAATCTATTTCTTGTTAACAGTTAATATATTTCAACCTTGAAAATGGTTAAATGTATAGCCGAAAGCGCTCGGATAAAAAGAACAATTAAGAACAGTTTTTATATAATTTATCATCCGAAAAGAAAAAAATTATTAGATCACATGAAAAATTGTATAAAAAACTAAAGCAAAGCACCTTGTCTGTCGTATTCAGTGATATGTACATGAAAGAAGGACTGGTGCCTAAATACACAAATTCGTGTATATATGCAGTAATCCTTCTTTCTGGTAACCGGCAATGCTGAAAAGTTCATAGGCTGACCAAGATATAAATGTAAGTTGATAGCCTAAAGGACATGTTACAGAATACAACTGGCGGAGCAGCATGTACACTTGCATGTCTTTTAGTCTACCAAACAGTGTGTCTACTTACATTTATATTTTGGGCAGTCTATGAACTTTCCAGCGACCCTCGTGTATATATATATATATATATATATATATATATATATATATATATTAGACTCTCCCGTCGGTTTCGACGTATAAGGATCTGACAACTTAGCCACTTGATTCAGTTATGAAATTTTATGCAATAATCTTAAGTGGCACTTAAGATTCGCTAGTGATTTATAAAGGAGGTCGCATATGGAGCAAGAGTGAGGATTGTGGGATGAGATCACTGTTAGATTAGCTGACCTTTTAGAACTTGCTCTCACTTTTTGAAGACGATTCAAACAAGCAGATTGAAAACTGCTGAGTCTACTAAAACACGTTGATATCCATTCTAACTGCTCCAAGGCTAAGCGCTTAAGGGTGTTATGTAGTATATTGACAGCCGACAAGTTGCCCTTCAGCTTGTCTTTATATCTTAGCTATGGGTGACCTACATTCCTGTAGCCCTGATTTAACTGGCTGTACATTAGGATCTTGGGTATCCTGTCATCAGACATTCCCAAGACATGACCAGTCCATCGTAACTGAGACTGTATGAGAAAATTCTGTATTCCTCCAATATTACACCTGTTAAACAGGTCTACGTTAGATGTCCTATCTTGAAGGTTAACTCCACAGATTGCACGCAGACAGCTTTTATGGAAAACATCCAGCTGGCGAATATGGTACCTGTACGGAGTCCATGACTCTGAGCCATACAAAAGGATGGCAAGTACAACAGCTCTGTAAACCCGAATTTTTGTATCTAGTCGAATAACCGTCATTCCACAAGCGATGGCGAAGTTTGCCGAAAGCATTGGTAGCCTTAGCAACCCGATGCATGACTTTGCTACCAAGATAGGTAAAAGACATTAATATATATATAAGGATAGAGTAAAAATTGGAGGTCTAAGAGTTCAAATGTGCTGATGCATAATAGAGAGAAAAAGAGAGCGGGAGAATGTAAATATATGTGTATATGTCTATCTGTATGTATTCACATGGAGTAACCACCTACTTAACAATGTGGGTAAAGGAAAGTATGTTTTCAAATGTAGCAACAGGCTGCTTAAAAGGACGTGAAAGAATGGATGTATTTTTTAAAAATGTATAAGGATTATGTAACCGGTTAAAGTCTCCAGTGAGTCGGGCAAGTGTTTTATTTCGGTTCTGGGTATGTTACGATGACCGCCGCATCGGGGAATGGACAAAATGAACTCATCAGTTATGATTTAGGTTGATTTTCAATATCGTTATATATATATATATATATATATATATATATATATATATATATATATATATATATAACGAGAGATCCGCTTGGAAAGTGCCGCTCCGCTTCAGATTAGTTCGCGGCCTTATATCCTAGTTGTGACAACTTCCTGATTGGTTGGTAGAAATATAACTTTTTGGCCTGGCGGTTTTGAATATACATCTATTTTTAGAAATGGTGAAATTGTAGTCATTTTGTTATTTATTCATTATTTATTTATCTATTTTCCATCACTACGCATTCACTGCATTTCCACAACTGAATTGATATATATAGTGATTTTCCAAACGTAGCTTAGATCTGGCACAAGGCCGAAATTATGAGGCACCCAGTGAGGATCGAACTCACTCGTAATTATTCTAGCGAGACAAGCTTGTTAACCATTACACCACCTCGAGATGCCCATGAATTAATATATATATATATATATATATATATATATATATATATATGCTGATTAATGCTAAGCTCTTCGCTATGAATTGAGCCCTCTGGTAGCCAGTAATGCTTTTATCTCGTATATAATGCGTTAAAAATTCCCTTTCTCTGATGTCAAATCGGTCGGGTTTCGATTCCAATCTCGATAGCCACATTGATGAGCTGTGATACAGCGAAACAGTTTGTCTGTGGATGACTATATATATATATATATTTAATATTAATCTTATTCTAGCGTTGTTTCCATTGATGGGTTAGGAAGCAGCTGCCTTGTCGCATTCTCTTGGATTTCCCCGACATCTTGAAATCTTTTTCCTTTCAAGTGGGGTTTGATTTTTGAAGAGGAAACAGTTACAAGGGGCGAGATCTGGTCGATATGGTGGTATTCGGATCTGGGGAATCTTGTCCTTAGCCGCACAAGCCATGGTCACTGTGAAACATCTGTGATGTGGTGAGACGACCTTCTGTACACACTGTCTTCCCAAACTCTGTTATAAACAACGGAAATGAGCG